GTTTAAGTAACATTGATATTATTTTTTTGTTTAATCACGTTGATCGAAAACCAACCTTAACCCAATTTATTGAATAGTCAATTTCATATAGCAATACCTCATTACATGCGCATGGTTTTTTGACGGTTTTGCCGCCATCAGGTAGGTATGGTATGGTAGGGCTCCGAAGTACATATCTAACAAGACTAACTAATGTTTGTCTTTGTTAATATTTTTTATAGTGTAGTCTTGGCGAAATTTGTGATTATCTATATATTAATACGTAAAGCAAAAACTTTGTATCCCTTTCTACGAAAATTGCGCGGACGGAGGAGTATGAAATTTTCCACACTTATAGAGAATATATAGAAGAAGTGCACAATGCTAATATTTTTTTAAAGTTATGCATAAAAGATACATTAAATCAATAAAGAAAACATTACACACACTACATACCATGTATTTGACGCACACACGCATGCATACTATTTATTGTCAAACTTTTGTTCTTGACGTCTGTTGTCAAATTGAGAATAGATTAAATATTGTTTGTCTTAGTTAATATTTTTTATAGTGTAGCCTTGGCGAAATTTGTGATTATAGAAGTATAAAATACAATAATAATAGTGTACAAACTTACAATTCCAATTTTTTTTTATTGCTTATATGAGTGGACGAGCTTACAGCCCACCTGGTGTTAAGTGGTTACTGGAGCCCATAGACATTCACAACGTAAATGCGCCACCCACCTTGAGATACCAGTTCTAAGGTCTCAAGTATAGTTACAACGACTGCACCACCCTTCAAATCGAAACGCATTACTGCTTCACGGCAGAAATAGGCAGGGTGGTGGTACCCACCCGCGCGGACTTACAAAAGGTCCTACCACCAGTAATTACGCAAATTATAGTTTTGCGGGTTTGATTTTTATTACACGATGTTATTCCTTCACCGTGGTAGTCAATCGTGAACATTAGTTGAGTAGGTATTTCATTAGAAAAATTAGTACCCGCCTGAGATTCGAACACCGGTGCATCGCTCAACACGAATGCATCAGATGTCTTATCCGTTAGGCCACGACGACTACAAATTAATTATAGTCGAATTTCGACTACTGCGGGACCTCTAGTAGAAGTATAAAATACAATCATAATAGTGTACAAACTTACAATTCCAATTAATTATAGTCGAATTTCGACTACTGCGGGACCTCTAGTATATATTTATTATGTGACCCAAAATGTTATATGGAATATTCAAAATTCTAAAAACGATTTTTTTCCAAATTCACGCTCAGTATTTGCTAAAAGCCTCGTTCCTAACACCCTGTATTTAACAAGCCAGAGTTTGGAGAAGATGACAAACTCGCGTACGAACCAAGTTAGATACTTAATCGATATAAACTGTATTTATTTCTTGGCTAACTACGCGTATGATATTGTTGATCGATGATGAAGTTTTTTTTTTTTTTTTTCTTTATTAGAGCCATTCACCTCTTAGGTTAAATCGGCTGGTGTTGATGTTGACATTGAAGAAACTAAAAAAATTGAGCACGGAAAGGCTTCGTAAAAATTTTGAACAATAGTATCTTGCATACTAAAAATCTTTGCAATGATGTCAGCAAATACATTTTAAAATAACAAAATTAGTGCGCATACTGCCATCCAGTCTTGTTATTTGAGACTTATTTGATGACTTGGTGGCGCTATCTATAGCTGGCGACTATCGACGATCCTGACTGCTGGGGCCGAGGTTCGTGGATTCGATGCTGTCTTCCAGAAAACTGTCTAATGGAATTGTTTGCTCTTTGTCAGAGTCTTTTATATCTATATATGTATGTATGTATTTGAACTAAATAAGTGTATTTAAATACACATTTTAAAGAGATGTTAGTTCGGGGCCCTGGTCACTGTGTGTGATTTTTTGTTCATATATTTTTACCGTTTACTATTTATATATTAATTGTAAATCGTGAAATAGGTACCGATTTTAAAGCTTTCAGACATAAATATATAATAAAATAGTATTATTTTTCCATCAAATGTCATGAAAGTAAAATGTAAATGAAGATTTTACTTTCTATAAGACTTTGAAATGTAAAATCTTAATGTTAACATGAACTACAGAGTTTTCCACCCACTTAAGTGTTAATGTAAAATATCAATGAAACAAAACATTATTTTGTCTAGCTCTTTTTTTCAAGCAAAGCAAATTGTGTCTTACGCTAACAAGTTAAGGTATGGGGTTGTATAACAATAGATAATTCTTAGTCGTACAAACAGTACATACGTACGTACAAACAGCCTCGAGACAGTCACGTTGTCATATCTTGCATACAGATTAGTTGAAAACAATATGTGACTTCCATACAGGTTTCTTGAGTCTTTCCTTAAAGTAGGTACTACATCGGAATAGTGGCCTTTGATATTGAGGTTACAAAAATGAATGTTACAACAAATGAGTCGACTATTATCAAAGGCGGCAATCTGACTTTTGGACAATGATTGGTAAATCAGAAAAACGAATTATTGACTTTGTATTCCATCGGCAGTCACAAAACTCTTCGGAACGACATCTTAGATAAATAACAGGTTAACTATTAACCTTTATTTAATGCAGGTTTTGAACCGTATTCTTTGAAGGAGACGATTATATTCAAATAAATCTGTATTGACATATCAATAAATTTTTTTGTCCAAATGTACAGATTGCCACCTTTGATAATAGATGACTCAAATAATAATTGTTAAAATTTCACTACTTACCTCAGTATTCTGACAACTATGCAGTGTGCTTAGTGGCAGTTTTTTAACGTTCTCGATAACGTGAAAGTTAGCTCATATTTGTATGGAATGGGATCGTTTGCCTACGTTTGCCGCTAGGGGTGCTGTTCCAACTGCATACAAAATTGGGTTTACTTTTACGCTATCGAAAACGTTAAAGAACTCTCACTAAGAACACAGAACAACAAATAAACAAAACAAAAAATTGACGTCAAAAAAATACTACTGCATACATATTTAACGGTTGTTACGGAGACATTGTAATATATTATAATATAATTACTCTATTAAATCATGAGAAGTTTCAAAGCGGATGTCTAACATATCCATGCTTGTACTGCCCACCAGTGTCGACAGTATAGCAATCTTTTCGAAAAATTGAATAAAAAATCAGATCGAAAAATTTACTCCTTGGACTCGGATCATTCACTTTACACTAATAAATTTATTTAATGGTAATGCAAAGTGCATTTATTATTCATTTCATTGACGATAATTCAATGCCATTAATGTGCACTGCACATAGATAAGCAGCTGAAGGCCGAATGTTGTAGATTTTTCTGAAACATTTTCCCTTTTTACGATTCTCGTTTATATAATGATTGGATTGATTGTAAAACGTAGATTCCTGAGAGCCACGCGTCCTTTTGAGAGCATGCATGGCGTGCAATGCGAAAACTGTACTTAAATTATGTTTTTTCAAATATGATGCTTATTCTCGTGGTGATAGGCTCTATTACGTGGTTTTTGTGTTGAAAAGATGAACATAAAAGATCATTTGAAATGCGACAGTTTATTGGGACCTTTAGTGTACAATACAACTGACATTTCACTGTTATTAATTTTTTTTTATTTTTTTTACTCAATAAAAACGGAGTTTCCAGACCCAGCGGTTTTTCCGCTTAAATGAAGTCTCCAGTATACTATTGTACTCTGTAATTTTGTCTTAGAATTAAAAAAAAAACAACATTTATATTAATTATTATAATCAATTCTTAAGTTGGCGGCTCTTAAGCTGCGATTCCTATCTGCTTCAGGAACCATTCAACGCCAGGTGGACTCATCTGTTTGATCAGTCAAAAAATAGTTAGAATAAATGCAGCGTCACCTTGACCGCGTCTCGTAAAACGCATTTAGTCTACCGTTTCGCAGCATATTTTCACTTCTTATCTATACAAACGTGTCGTTTTCGTTTATAAAAAAACCTTCGTGAACAGTACATACGTAAATACGTGAGTATTAAACACGAATTTCAAGGTGATCGTGCAATTAGATCACTACATCCACAACTTGACACGTTTAGGCAAAATATAAAATATTAATCTACGTGAGTCAGCTTTAGGAATTCATAGGCAAATATAAATACGGTTATTAATTTTTTTGTTGACTAAGCGTTTGTTTGAATCGCACTATTTGATTAAGACAGAATAAAATAATGAAAAACTTCGAAGTTTATTCAGAAGCCTTATTTGAATATGTTCTGAACACGATAGAACATCGTCTCAATCGAGGAGCCGCCGAGAGAGAGTATTTACTTATTAGAGAGATTATTTATTTATTATTTATAGAGATTATTAGATTTATTTATTTAGATTAGATACCTAAGAAAAATTTCTCGGTACGGTTTCTGGACTACCAAAATACGGATAAAATTGAATGGCGTCAATATTTATATCAGCCATAATTATAAGTAAATAGCAGGACTCTATACGCAATTAGACTCATTTGAAATTAAAATTCTTTCAAATTACGAGAGCAATGAAATCGTGAAATACTCTGTAGTCTTGAAATTCAATCGTTCTTTCGATTTCCTAGCGATCCGCTCGCCACTCGAGTTATTTCCAGATCCATTATCGGATATTAACGGGGATCGGAATTGTATGTAAACAGGCAAAATGTATCTCTAAAACTCAGGCAAAAAAAATATATTGAAAAAATTTATTAAAACAATTTTTTTTTTTTAACGAAACAAATTTTTTTAAACAATCTAATTACGAAATATACGGCCAAGATTAATATTATGTTTGCTAATATTTTCAAATTGACCAAAGCACAATCAATAAACAGACATGGATACTATCAACTCGGAGATATAGTGTTCTAAGATTTTTTGTAATTAGACTCGAATCAAGTCAATTCATTGTCTTTCGATTTAATAAAAAACTTCAAGATAAAACGTTTCTATTGAAGGACCAACCACGTACCGTTGCCAGGCAACACAATTTCGGTGTAAACTTGCCTGTTGTGCTTTAGTCATGCTTTTGCTTATTTTAATCATGGAACTCAGTAAAAGATTGGCTACATTTCCTCCTTGTGAGCTGCACGCTTTATCCCGGAGATTAAATAAAGAATAAGTTATTGTTTGAGTGCTAACACCTGATATAAAATGTTGTATCCCATCGGTGACTAAGGTGACCTCGTTCTGGTGAGTACAACACTACGACTTTATAAAATCTCATAGGAATATCGTATTGAGTCTTAGAGAAATTCTCATCTACGGTAAGTTAAGGTTTTACCTCCTCATAATTCTTCATTTGAATTTGCAATTCGGACCGTTGAGTTGCTGATTTGTCAGTTTAAATATTCGTGAATTAAAAAAAAAATTGTCTAACGTTGAAATTGTTGCGATTTATTTATCTTGAAATTGCTATATATTTACTATATAATGACGTATTACGAAACCCATTTCCCGACTTGCAGTTAGGTTAGTAAATAGCGTTAGATTTTTTTATTTAGTGTGTAGATAGTGGTAGTAGTAGTGTTGATTATTTTGTTATGCTGACGCCGCTATCCGCAACAGTGGCAGCAGCTTCTTCTGCGAAGCACGGCTCTTTCTAGGGTTCGTGTTAGCAATGTCATCAGGTTTGAGCCCCGCGAGCTCACCTACTAGTTAAGGTTACGCTGAAATAGCCTCTCAAGGCTATCAGCTTAGGTAGGATAAAAAAAAACAGTTTCTTATCGTAAAGTAATAAGTCATACTCTTTACGATGCTGTTCAAATATTTTATGAGATAAATTACATGGGAGTTAACGATGGGTTGTTCCGAGCATCAGCCACTTGCACACTTTTTCGATATTTAGTAAAATGGTGACTCACCTCGTTCGCTCTAAAGCAAAAGTATACCGCCGCACGGATAGACACGTAACTCATAGTTACTACCTTTTTTTTTGTAACCCAACAACAAATGATTATTGACATTACAAAAAAAAAAACAAAAGAAATTTTATTGTGGCGCCAATTCTGCAATGAGGTTTGATGACGGATTTTCTATTGTGGCCCGTTGGAGGCACTTGTCCGTTACGGCTGTGGCGGTCAGGTACGCGATGACTCACGCTATTTACTATGCAGCGAAAGTGTAGTGGCATCCTCGAAGTTTTATTATTATTATTATTTTAACGCCGGAACGGACCACGCAATGTGTTCGCCGAACGTGTTTTGCCTCGTTTTCTGCTAAGCGTTTGTTTGAATTATAATATAAAAACACTAGCTTATGCCCGCGACTTCGTCCGCGTGGAATAGTTACCTACTTTGGCATAACTCTACATTTTACCCGCCTCTTCATTTACGTAGAAAGTGAAAATATTTTTGAACAATACAATGTTAAAGAGTTATTTAAGGTATTAATATCACGTTTTTTAACAGACTTCAAAATAATCTCTTATACATTAGACAGATACAGAGAAGACTCTCATACGTTACTTTAGCGAAACTTTAATCGGTTCCGCAGCGCACGCAGTGGAAGCTCTCGAAAATAATTAAAACACCCATTTCGAAACATTCTTTATTGGTTCTCCGCTTGCATTGGTCTTAGCGTAATGTTATATATTAATATAGCCTATAGACTTTCTCGATAAATGGGCTATCTAACACTGAAATATTTTTTCAAATCGGACCAGTAGTTCCTGAGATTAGCGCGTTCAAACAAACAAACTCTTCGGCTTTATAACATCAGTATAGATTTCGAAAAAAAAAAAAAAAAACAAAAAAAAAATACAGTCGCATTTTTAAAACCGATATGCATTTAAAATAGGTTTGCTGAAATAGTTTTATTATAATTTAATAATGAATAACATGTTACATTAGTATTCGTTTCATTATTTTTAACTTTTGTAATCGGCATATTAATAAAATTGATGATTAAAGTGATTAGTTAGTTGTTGAAGTATCATTTGTTATTCCTGTTTTTGAGGTCAACGAATACATCTAACAATAGTCCATCGTTAAAAAACGATTGATTGATAAATTATACATTCAAAATTTTATGTTAATTACTTACAATGTTAAAAAGATATGACAGCTTACAATTATTGTTACTCATTGTACAAAATTACTAAATATTTGAAACTATTTATAACAATAATAACCACCCTGCCTATTTTTGCCGTTAAGCAGTAATGCGTTTTGGTTTGAAGGTAGGGGCAGCCGTTGTAACTATACTGAGACCTTAGAACTTATATCTCAAGGTGGATGGCGGCATTTACGTTGTATAATAATATGTCTATGGGCTCCAGTAACCATTTAACATCAGGTGGGCTGTGAGATCGTCCACCCATCAAAGCAGAAAAAATTTTTTGTCTTTGAACATGTATAATAAAGTGCGATAGGGACCTATTAAAAGCACACGCGTAGGTCGTTCTATGTCTGGTCTCTTATTCCTATGAAATTAAAGCTTTGGCTATTCGTATAGATTGCCATATAACTTCAACGGGAACTCACGGCCCACTCGATGTTAAGCGGTTACTGGAGCAATAATGCAATTGAGCCCCTCAATCAGTAAGTATCTACAGTCGGGATCATTGCACCATTTCGAAAAGGTGGCACGACATGAAAACCTTCCTGTTGTGGCCGCCGGGAATTACATACCCGATCCTGTAGACCGAATGGTAAACAGTCGACGTCGCCCCAAACACGTCATTACGGATCCTCCTGATCCATTAATCAGGTACTGGGTTTTTAGGTACCACAAGCACGGATCACCGTCCTCGTCGAACTCATGACACAGGCCACAGAGTTTCTCGCCGGACCTTCTCAGTGAGTCGCGTTTCCGATCCGATGGTAGATTCTGCGAAGCACTGCTCTTGTTAGAACCAGTGCTAGCAACATTCCCGATTTGAGCCCCGTGAGCTCAACTACACGTTAAGGAGAAGCTGAAATAGCCTCTCAAGGCTATAAGCTTAGGTAGGGAAAAAAAATGGAGCCTTCGAGCTCATGTCTCCGGAATTCACGTTGCGATCCCTATGGGCTTCGTTAACAAAGATCGAACGCTGAACTTTGCATCTATTTGTGCAATAAAAACTAAATAAAATGAGATCCCATCCTGCAAATCCAAAAGCTTGATCTTCTATTTTTATGTAATGTTTTAAAAAAATAGTACATATTGTTTTTAATATCTAAATATTATATAAAATGAATCGCTGTTTCGTAATGGATTTGGCTAATTTTAGTCTTGATTTATTTGTGGAAGTCCAGAGAAGGTTTAAAAAGTAGATAAATATGAAAACGCTCGGAATTCAATAAAAATAATAATTTTGTTTTTACTTTGATATGTCCCCCGTCGGACGGATTTCTCTTGTTTGTTTTAAGTTTATTTTATTCAAAAGTTCAGGCCTTTTATTTTTCGGCTTAGGCACTATGAAGTCTGTCGGGTCAACTAGTTTAAAATAAAATAAAATAAATTTAATTAATAATGTTTTCATGATCATCAAAGTCGTCGCAGTTATTTAGAATAAGTTATTAATTACAGAGAGAGAGATGTCGGGATTCGTGTGTGTCCTGATGCTCGCTGGCGTCGCCTCCGCTCAAATCACCCTGGACGGCATCAGATGCGGTCAGCTGATATGTCAGCTAGACGAATACTGCTCCCCGGAGACCAACCGATGCGCTCCGTGCAATGTTGTCTGCAATAAAACACACCATAACTACGATAGCGGCCTTTGCGTTAAGGAATGCCAAGGTACGTTCAACTTTGTATGTATTGCGACGCTTCGTCGCAACGCCGCCGGAGACATTGTTCCTTCATATCTATTTGTGTCTGTGGCGTCGTAAAATTGCTTTCTGAGAACTTACAAATTACTGTTAAAGATACGAAATATCAAGCAATTATTATTATATATTTAATTTTTTTAAAAATAACTAGATTTGAAACATCGATTATTCTGTAGCCGCATTACAATTAATATTACTATTGTATTACTTATAATTACTGTTTTAAAATATTATATACTACTAGAGGCCCGCTCCGGCTCCGCTCGGGTCTTTAACAAAAATTTTAATGATATTTGACGTTGTTTCATTTTTTTAAATAAAACAACACGTATTGCGGCATAACTATAATAGACATATTATGCTGCCGCGACACTTTTTGTAAATAATAATGTGTTCTGCAAAATCGTAGCACATTCTTTTATCAATAGTTTTCGCCGGGCACGTGATGTATTTTACACCTTGGGTTACATACATTATTGGAGTTTTAGTAAGGACCCCTAATTTTTTTCAAAAAAGATTATTATAGCTTATGTCACTCGGGAATAGTATAGTTTCCAAACAGTAAAAGAATTTTTCAAATCGGTTCAGTAGTTTCGGAGCCTATTCAATACAAACAAACAAATCTTTCCCTTTTATAATATTAGTATAGACACCTACTGGTACCTACCCGTGCGGATTTACAAGACGTCTTACCATCAGTAATTAGGCAAGTTATATTTTTTGTGGGTTTGATTTTTATTACACAATTTCTTATACGCATTTGTTAACACGTTGACTGCCATGTAGATCGCCGGTGACCTACGCGGCGCACTGAAGTACTTATGTCGATTTCTATTACAACTTTCCCTTCTTTTGTTTTTAATGTATGTATGTCTTTTTGGTAACATAGAAATAGATTCATTCTCAGTATCTTCGAATTCATCTTTCTTAGACTCTACTACATATTCCGTTTAAGTCACCAGATAAAAATTAAAAGCTCTCTTTATGTTTGAGCGAGATCAAAAAAGGGAGAGTTCGTTCCATTTAAAATTTATCAAGATCTGACCAGTGGTTCTTGAGTTATCCTTGATAATGCATGTTCGTTCGATTTCGACTATATTAATGATATTGTGCTCATTTTAAATTGCGAAAGTCGATTTTCTTTTTTGTTAAACTTTTTTAGTGTATGCGATAAAATCGAATATGACAGTGAATCGATAGTGGACATAGAAAAAAAGATACCTCTTCATTTGTTTTCAATATGTTACCAGAGAGTAGCTTTCTATCCGTCCGCATTTGTGTTTGTCCCATGTCGACTGCAGGAAGGCAGTTTTACAGCCAGCCCTACTTAAGCTCACACCGGTTCGTTAACCCATTCCAGATAACCTTAATTACTTAGTGAATCGGTTCCTAACTTAAAAATAAAACGTTTCTTCTTTAGCCCAATTTTATTATTTAACAGGCGATTTGTTTAAGTTCTTTTCGAACGTATCGTTATTATGACATAATATATCTGTAACGTATATCCGATGTTCAAATGAAAATAAACCTTATTGGTTACATTTTATTGTTTTTTTTTTGAATTTTTTTATGTTGAACGGCAACCGGCTGTACCGGTTTCGCGACCGCAGCCCGTCGACAACCTTCCTATTCGTTCACACGTATAGCTCTGTCTCTTTCGTTCTCGAGCGAAGAATGTGTAGGTTTCAGGTCATGCATCTTGAACGAGGTTTTCATATAGACTCTTAGGTAGAACTTAAATAATTTAAGTTGAACTTGCGTTACGAGCGTGTTATGTTTGTAATTTAAGCCGTGCTGGTAATTTTTAATAAGCACATCCTTCCTGAGTTAGATCTTATTAACATTGATAATTCATTACAATATTTAGAGTTTTATAAATTACTCATGTGTAGTAAATACTACTTTTATAAGGTATGCGCTAATTAGCAGTATGGTATGGCATAGTAAGGACATGTCCTCTTTAACTGGTTTAGAAAGGCAAAAGTGTATGCAATTTATTTGGTGGTAAGCGGTTATCGGAAGCTACATTTCAATTATTGCTGTCCATTTTAAGTAGTGAGGACGCAATATATTAAGACAGCATCGGAACACTACTTCGCAACAGCGTCGCGACACGATAATCGACTTATTGTGAGCCCCGGCCAATATGCCGATGATCCGGCTCATAGAGCAGCCAAACGCGTTCTAAATAGTCTTCACGAATCCTTTTGATCTACTCTCGGTGCCCTGGTTCTAAAGCTACAGAGGGACATAGAACCAGGTCACCGTACTTGTGAAACTCGTCAAAGAATCCAAGCTGACATTCCGATCTAGTGCATCTACCGTTCCTAACTAATGGTACAGCAGTTAAATTACTTGGGAGGTACTTGGGCAGTTGTTAGCCCTTCACCTCAATCCTCAAGTTCAATCATCTGTTCTGATTACACGACAAGGCCTCGGACCCAATCTTTCCATTCCAAAACTGGGGCTGAGCTTGTGTTTTGAACTGGGTTAGCGATTATCCTACCCTCCAAATAACAACGCATAATTTCTTGGCAACCAGTAAAGAGCAGCAGTTCGAGACAGAGTCCTCCTTGAATTTTACAAATATATATTTATGCATGTTTAAGGACATTCCAGAAAGACAATTAACCGCTACCGTAAAAGGATATTTCAACAACACATAACATTCATCTGATACTGCATTACTATAAACTCGACAAAGGATCTTGTAAAGGTGCAACAATGCTTGTAAAGCGAGAGCTACACTGAGCGCGTGTGGGCCACGTGCTGGGCGTGTCGGAACCATACTTGCAGAGCCGTATTACATTCACAAAACGCGATGCTTTTTAAACGAATCAACTATTTATTTCATGTTTTCATCGAAATATCTGTATGAGCGAGTAGTGCTGCTACTAGCTAGCTCGCGTAGGTCACCGTCCTCATCAAACCCGTCGCTTGCGACGAAGGGCTCGATGAGTGAATTAACCCATAGACACAGCCCACTGAGTTTCTCGCTGGATCTTCTCAGTGGGTGGCGTTTCCGATCCAGTGGTAGATTCTGTGAAGCACTGCTCTTGTTAGGGCCAGTGCTAACAATACTCCCGCTTTAAGCCCCGTGAGCTCATATACCCGTCAAGGAGAAGCTAAAATAGCCCCACAAGGCTATCAGCATAGGTAGGGAAACAAAATCTAGCTCGCTATATTTTTCATGTTTCAAATGAGGAATATGAATCGGTCCAATGTAGCTCTCGCTTAAGCGTTACGGTTTGTTGACTCCGGCAGGTACAGCGAACGCACACAAACATGCAATACACACACACATGGAAAACTATGTCGATACAGTGTCTGTGTGTGCGCAGTTACAGGTGTCGTTTTGTTTGACAAACTGTAGAGCGTTATAGGATATCCTCGCAGCACGAGAGATACTCAAACAATAACGTGTTTAATATTATCGATTGTCTTTCCTTATGTTTTGACTGGAAAGAAATGTATGTGATCTTTATATTTGTTTGTCTTATATTTGTCTGATTGGACTTGTGATTTTATTGGTTATTTATTGGTCGTAGAGTAAGGCGATAGTTTTAGTCAATTAACATCAGAATGTGGCTGCCCTACTCGTTAATGTTTTTGGTCCAACGATTGTTACCTTCAAATCAGAATAGGGTAAGGTCTTAGTATTAACACACGTCGTCTTCTCGCATTAAAACTGTATAATCTCAAAACTTACTAATTTTACAAGTGAGTGTTTTAAAGGTTTAACATGTGATATTTTTAATATTAATCATCTTTGCAACATTAATTTTATATTTTTTATCAGTTAGGTACATTATCTGTCTTTTAAACTAAGATAAAATTATGTATTAATTATGTTAACAGTACTCAAAATATAGGTAAACTAAAAAAAAAACTACCCTCTTTTTACAGTATTTATGAGAAAAATACTGGTGATACCAAATGATTAGGCATATTAACTCAATTTCGAATATTCTTGGAAAATGTACACTTTTAATGGGAAAAGACGACGAACCAATTGATTCAAATAGTAAGATAATTGGAATGCTCTGAGTTATTAGAACCCAAAGGCTTATAATTGTATGGTTTAAAATTGTCGGATTGATGGCGAAGAGGATTTCGTGGCCCCTCTAGTATTAAACGGTTACGAGAACCCATATACACAATACAAAGTGCATGTCGCAGTCCAACTTAAAGCCAAAAGTGAAAAGCATGATAAATGAGTCGTCTATTATCAAAGGTGGCAATCTGTGCATTTGGACAAAAAAATGTTATTGATACGTCAATACAGATTGATTTGAATATAATCGTCTCCTTCAAAGAAAACGGTTCAAAACCTGCATTAAATGAAGGTTAATACTTAACCTGTTATTTATCTAAGATGTCGTTCAGAAGAGTTTTGTGACTGCCAATGGAATACAAAGTCAATAATTCGTTTTTCTGATTTACCAATAATTGTCCATAAGTCACATTGCCAGCTTTGATAATAGTCGACTCAAATACAAGTAGTATCAAACAACGCAAACTCACCGTATTCCTTTCACTAATTTATTCATTTTGCGATTTTCGCTTATTATATTTTCATTAACTTTCCTTCGCAGTAAAAATCACAGGTGAACATAGTCCTGTTAGGAATGATAACTATATTTTACGGGTGGGTACCACCGCCCGGCCGATTTCTGCCGTGAAGCAGTTTTGTTTTTTGGTTTTTGGTGGGGCAACAGTTGTACTGTTAAAAAAGTGAGACCTTTCAACTCATGTCTCAAGGTGGGTTGCACATTTAGATTGTAGATGTCTATGGGCTCCGGTAGCCACTTAAGATCAGATTGGCCAAGAGCTCGTCCACACATACAAGCAATAAAAAAAATTAGAAAATTTTGTACATAGCCCATCTTATCGTAATTTTTAAATTGCAATAATGATCTAAAACGTAGAGTTTCAGACATTATTCCTTATCGTATCAACGTTATTTGTAGGTAGGTATTATCCACATTTTGCGTAACGCTAATATAATTTAAATTAATACATTTCATCAAACTTTCATTACAGACTTTTATAGTTTTGTTGGTGTATTTCACATCACTAACTACATGCTGTTTTGTTAATTTCATTTTCGGGTATCGTTGTTCAAACCTCAACCGAAAATGATTCTAGTCTCCACCCGTTCAACATGATAACGCGCTAAAATACTCTTGGGATAATTTATTTTAAATATTGTTTTCTGCATTGCTCGTTTTTACAATTGACAAACTAACGATGCGTGAAATCTACGGTCTTGAGTGAACGCGGAGACCACAAAGTGTGCTACCTTCACTTTAAATAGGGGCCTCAGGAAGGTGAAACTGTACGTAAAATAATACTTAGGGCTGGTAAGAAGCTCCCTTAACACCTAAGCCTAGTATCATGCGTTTGATTTTAACTTCAGAGAGAAACATGGTCAATACTTCTGCGTTTGTACGTTTCATCTATACTAATATTACAAAGCTGAAGAGTTTGTTTGTTTTTGGTTGAGCGTGCTAATCTCAAGAACTACTGGTCCGATTTGAAAAAATATTTCAGTGTTAGATAGCCCATTTATTGAGGAAGGGTATAGGCTATATAACATCACGCTATGACCACTACGAGCGGAGCACTAATATATAATGTTTTAAAATCGTTTTTTTTTCTGTTTTGAGAGCTGAATGGTTAAAGTTTCACTAAAATAATGTATGACAGAATTGGTCACCTTTAAAAGTTTAAAAAAAAAGTCGCCGACAGCATATGTCTATATTTTTAGGTTGTCTCACTATAACCTTTTTTACACTTAAAATAAGCATTATTTGTGAAGGTGTTTTTATTAAAGATGATATTAATCCTTATCCAAATAAATACGTTATTAATTACAAGTATTTAGCTTAAAAGAAATTTGCCCTTGATATCATTTGATTTTAATAAGTATTTTAGAAGATAACAAAGTAAGGCACGGAATAAGAAGAATAACAAGAAACACTCAAATCACTTCAAGATAGGCTTTGAAACTTGTAGATTTTTCTTGATTTCTCAAGGATTCCATCATCAAATCCTCATCCTGATGATTACAGGACCATTCTGGAAGTCTACCTTTCGAACAACAAAAAAAAGAATTATCAGAATCGGTTCAAGCATTCTCGAGAAATCGGTGACCATACAAAGATAAAAAATGGTGATCGAATTGATAAGTCTTCTCTCTTGAAGTCGGTTAAAAAGCGCGATTTTTGTACTTTAAACGAAGTCGCGGGTAAAAGCTAGTATGTATTTTATTATAGTATCGGTTTTCTATGGTAAACGGGATACTACGTAGTTTGGTGCTAGAAGGCCATGTATTTTGTGTATACATAATAATATATATATGTATTTTCGTAATTACCATTATTTATATGTTTGCTTTGGTTATTTTAGACGAGTAGTCTGTTCTCATTTCGGCTTCGAGAACAGTCATGTAACACCCTGTATGTGAATTCTTTATAGTGCAGTTGAGTAAACACCTGCCCTTCGGATATACGTGTGCTTCTCAGAATCCTTTAAAAATATTGAGCTTGGGAAATGAATACATCTTCTGGGTCTTACAAAAAAGTTTGTAGTTTAAAAACACAAAAAAGGGCCGGTTGTTTGTTGAATGAACTTCGTTGACATATCTCGCTTGATGCACATAAATAAATATTAGAATTATAAAACAATATGATATTCTCTAGATAGGTAAGGTATTTAGGTAAATAGGATTTATTTTGCTGCAGATTGGTGTGGCATATCTTCTTGAAACATGTTTTGATTAAATATATCGACTCGTTTTTTAAGCATCGTGATCACCAGTCGCAGTACATTGTGTTATTTGCTTAAGCCGGAAGGAAAGTCTATACTAATATATAAATCTACAGTGGTTTTTACGGATGTTCCGTTATAACTACTGAACCATGCATCCGATTGACTTGAAACTTGGTATCCACGTAGAAAATACATGCACTTTATTTATATGAGCGTTGGACTCCCTAATAATAATGAAAATAAATAATAATGTTAATATTAAATGCCCAGCGAAGCGGGCGAGTACGGCTAGTCTAGTTTAAAATCGTTCATTATTAGGTAATATCAAAATAAATCGTTCAAATGTCATAATTAAGTAATAGCGCATTTTTGTCACAATTGACTTTCGCAACATCGTTAACCAAAACATTCGGTGCCTTGACAAGTATTCGGTTTTAAGTAGATTTTAATTGTGGTTATTGTGATTTATCGTAGGTATTATGGAATCGATAATTACAGTGTACCTTTTTCGTTCTAGGTTATCTATTGGATTTGAGGTACATGCGACGTTCGGAGACGGCCCCGCCACCCAACGATTTGGGAAGTAAGTACAAATCTATACATCTATACATATAAATTAAATAGGAGTGTCTGTTTGTAACATTGAAATAACCGCTTTTTACTACGTGCATACGAATATATAAAATATAGATACATACAACAAAATAACCTTTAAAAAAAAATTGTCTGTCTCTCTGTCTGTTTGTTCCGGCTAATCTCTGGAACGGCTGGGCCGATTTTGACGAAATTTTCACTGATAGATAGCTGATGATCTAAAGAATACCTTAGGCTACTTTTTTAGAATAGCTTTGCCCCGCGGCGTCACCCACGGTACGAAAATAACCGCGGGTAACATCTCGGGACTCTGCTATTAATAATAAAATTTAATGTTTCCGAAACGAAGCGAGGGAGGGTCTCTAGTATTAAATATAATATTATGCAAGCTATTGAAATGTGTGTTAATTTAAAAGGAAAACGGATTTTGAAAAAAATGTCTTGTACTTAAAAAAAAGTGAGCTCTGCGATTAATAATACAGCATAGCAGGTAATAGATACACAGCAATGCGAAATTTGATAATAAATGTATTAATTAAAATATAAAGTGGTGTTCTTTTGTAATATACGTTGGCATACTATCACCCGTGCATGCATTATGCACGATTTTAATAATTTTATTATGAAAAGTATTAAGAAATACTTCTTAGTTGCTCTAAATATGTCAATATACATTAATGTTTATTTGTTATGGAACATATTTTTTCATCTCCACGCCTCCAAGCCTATTAAAATGGCTTTTAACGATTTAAATCTATATTGCGACAGGTGCAAGGAAATAACATTGTAAATCAGTTTTTAGCTAAATCTGATTTACAATGTTATCTCTCGCATTCGTCAATTTTATATCGATGTTGAATTTTACGACATTTCAAAGGTTTTTTATTAGAATTTTTTTCTTCTACAAATACTTCTTATCTTACATAATCTTTGCCTACCGCTTTCCTATTTTGTAATAAAACAAATTTAACCGAATAATTTTCGGCAATGGTATTTATAGAAAAAAAAAAAGTAAACAAAGTTAAATTGACTTGCTTTTTACGATACACATCAGCTTCTGAATTATATATGAGAACGTCTTTCTTCTGTACAATTTGGCTGGATTGAGTTACGATTGTATTAGGTACAATACAAAGATTACTTTTCGCTTTGTAATATATTCATTACATGGTTCGCCGGAGCGAAATTTAAAACGTAAAAATCTTAACATAATATTTGTTGTAAATAGGAATAGCTTCAAAACAAAAAAACCTACAAAGTTTTTAATACGCTTAAAATACCAGTGAATTTCACTAGTGGTAGGACCTCTTGGGAGTCCGCACGGGTAGGTACCACCACCCGGCCTATTTCCGCCGTGAAGCAGTAATGCGTTTCGGTTCGAAGGGTGGGGTAGCCGTTGTAACTATATTTGAGATCTTAGAACTTATATCTCGAGGTGGGTGGCGCATTTACGTTGTAGATGTCTATGGGCTCCAGTAACCACTTATCACCAGGTGGGCTGTGAGCTCGTCCATCCATCTAAGCAATAAAAAAAAAGAAACGAAAAATACATGTCTAATGTAATGACACTCGCTTAATGTGCATTCTATTATGTAAATAAATATATATATATATATATCCGTTTCTAGCGCTGCGGAGCTTAGTTTTATTATATTGAGTTTTAATTATTCATATAATGTAGCGTTCATGTAAACAATCGATGGAAACCCAATGCGTCATCTACCATTACCGAGCTGACTCACACAAGTCTTAAAATCTTAGCGCTACTGATAAGAGATTGTTAATATTAGATTACGTTTACATCAGCGCCACACTGTTAAGGTACATGTGAGTATTTTAACGCTTTCTACAGTAATTTACTTGTCACAAAACGTTTTAATTGCGAACAAGGCATTTATATTTGATACTAGCTGACCCGGCAGACTACGTAGTGCCTCAATCGATAAATAAAAGACCTAAACTGTTGTATAAAATAAACTTAAAACAAACAAAAAGAATCCGTCCGACGGAGGACTCATCAAAGGAAAAACAAAATTTTATAAATGTTATTTTTATTTAATTCCGAGCATTTTCATATTTATCTACCTTTTAAGCCTTCTCTGGATTTCCACAAATAATTCAAGATCAAAGTTAGCCAAATCAGTCCAGCCGTTCTCGAGTTTTAGCGAGACTAATGAACAGCAATTAATTTATATATATATATAGATATTTAAAGACAGGTTTTTAAGAGCGCTATCTTCAGCCAGCCAAACACAGTTCCATTGATAATTCTAAACTATAGACCTGATTGAAATACGGCTTCGTTTTGTTCTGCTCTTATTCATAACTCCCGCGATAAGGAAAATGGCATGACAGATTACCGAAAACTTGGACTGAGTAATAGCACTGAGTATATGTGTAAATTATTTTTCTAAATGCAGTATGAGATACAGTGTTATTGTATTAACAATATCATTATCGTAAGAAAGAAAAAAAATGACACCTTCATAGGTATCATTTTTTTTTCTTCTTAAAACTCTTGTTCGATGAGTACCCACGATGGAAGTCACTGCCCACCTGGTCTATATGGTTACCGTTATCTTAGAGATATGATGTCGAATTTTCCAGTTATATGGTATTGCAGTTTTCCTGTGAAACTGTAACGCGGAACTGCTTCTCGATATAAATAAACTTCTGTTTATTTATATCGAGAAGCAGTCCCTTTTTTTAACATCCATCCATTTCCGAATACCCGGTTGAGAGGGTAACAGACCGGGCTATGTTGGATTCCGCGCCTTCAGAGAAGAAAAAGGAGACCGAGGTTCTTCTGTTACCCCAATTCCTTCTAGTAGACTACGGCTTGGGAAGCACGTGGAGGCGCGCCGCCTTGCAGAACCAACTACCGCCTCAACCCCAACAAACTCCACCACACCCGCTAGACGAAGCCTAGGACTGTGGTACCTTCCGCAATCCTACCAATAAAAATAAATTATCTAAGAAAACCAACGAATTTCACTGTAAAAGTTACAACTATATGTCATCAAATAATAAAACATGCTTACTTTGTCACGTACTAGTTAGAAAATGCTTTAAAAATGTTCTCTTTCTAGAAATCGCTAAATTCAAATACATAATAATTATACCGCATCTTTTATGGTCTTCCATAATAAACAAATGATTAAATATTTAAAAAGTTCTTTTTCACTTTAAATATAGTGGAGGGGTATAGTTCATGAAAACGTTAAATGAAAACGAATAAGAACTTGATATTATTATTTAATATGATATTATTAAATGGTAGGAAATTTGCGGTAGAACTTAAGCATTCGAAGAAAATCTCTTCGAGTTAAAGCGCAGCCTCACTAATAGTTTTTATGTTTGCCCGAGACAAGTTTATTTAACTGCAACCGTTGAAAGTGTTAGCATTCGATCAGGCTGAGCGAAATCCTTTAATTGATTGAAGGCAGGTACGGAGGTGCTAGAGGAAAGCCGATTAAAAACCAATCCGCGGCGAGGATTTAATGAAGCCGTTAACGGCTTGTTAATTTTGTTTTTTTGCTGTACTTTCCAATTTTTTTTTATTCATAGCCAATTGAATTATTTAGTAATTTACTCGTGTTTCCGCTATACAACAAATACGAAAATGTGACGAAGGGGATTAAAATTGTATGAATTAGTGGATTAATTCAGTATCCACTTTGACCTTGGAGATTCTGGTTTATGTTTCGTATAAGGTAACAAAATTGAGGGCGCTACAAGTTTTTAATGGTTAGAAATTTTTACGGTATTTTGAAAAGTTGTTTTGTCTGCCTAAAAGCGCCTGCCTAAAATGTCAATAGCAATCAAAACTGAGGCATTTGACATTTGAATGATACTAACAGCATGATGGTAATGATATGAATAACTTCACATTGTTGTTGGCAAATCACTGTGAATCTAATGTGTAATTGATATCTCTCGGAGGTATCATAATCGATAAGGTAAATGAAAACATTTTTCGACGAAATATATCTTTAGCGAATTCATTTGTCTCTCATGTATCGCTCAAGGCGAACGCGAATATTAGTTATATAAAATATTTTCTAGTGTGGTTTTATACCTGAAGACGATGTCATTACGTATTTTTTATTTCGCATTAAGAACTGTTTCATAAGTGATATGTTTTTAGGTTTCGCTTTTCTTTTGATGAATATTAGTAACGATTTTTTTTGGAAATTCATGTTAAAGATACCTTAATATAATATTATATTAAAAAAGTCGCCTGAGAAGTTTTACTCAGGTCATCATATGATAAAGAATTTTTTTTATTGAATTAATTTCTGTTGTAGGCATACACCGTGAAGCTCAAACTGCTCTGATCGTCAGCGGTGTGGCTCTGGCAGTACTGGTCCTAGTTCTCATCATAGTATGCAGAGGAAGAGTCTCTTGGAGATATTTAAAGCAAAAGTTCCAGCCAGCCAAGGTAACTAACTATAACTGAAAAATGTTTAGAACAAAGTATACTCGTATTTTGAAAATTTTCAAATAGAAATCTAATCAACAAAATGGCGCCGATTGCTCGCGAACAATTACAACAAACGCGTAAGAATTATGATCTTGTAAACGCGTTCTCAAAGAATACATACATTTTAAGGTCCGTTTTCAAATGCCATCGGTGAATTTTTACTTGGGCCACTATTTGAATTCAGTAAGCGATGTATGATTTTAACATTAATACTATTTTCAAAGTGTAGTATTTTTGCTTGATACAACAACATGTTACGTTTAATTTTGTTAATGTACATGGACGTTTGTTACGTGGACACTCTATCAAAAATTGGTATGTTGTATTTCAGTAAACAACACGCACCTTTCCGATAGTAGTCGTGAGTAGTAATGTAATAAATATTTATGTATTTAAATATGTATATAAACCATCCTATCTTTTTCGTTCTATAATTATATAACATGATAATGAATCTGGAATAAATATTCGTATTCGTATCTTCGAGATGATCACGTGTCAGTATTTTTCCAAAAATCATCACAATGTTTTGTACGAAGGGCCAAAATGAAAATCACGTCTCATGCTACTTAATCTCAACAGTATTCATCATCATTTTACGACGCCCCTTCCTCACATTATAACCTCTACTTTAAAATGCAAGGTCTTTTTAACCGAATGATCATCCTCCCTTCACCGGAGCCCATAGAGATCAAACACGTTAATACCACCGCCCATCTTGTTACTTGAGTCCCAAGTCTCAGTTCCTTAGTACGACGGCTACCCCACTCTTACGCAAATCGAAACGCATTACTGCTTCGCGGCAGAAATGGGCATAATGGTAGTGCCGTGTGGACTCACAAGACACCGTACCTTCAGAAGTGAAAACAGATGATTCTGAATCCGAGCCTAGATGGGTAGTAACTATCAGAAACGCTACGATTTTGGAGCTTATTTATGCTATCATACAAAAACATTACTACCTATATTATCTTCTGACAAAGCATTATTACGCATTAATTGACCAATAAGAAAGGCTCGGTCGAGTTGTGCTGGTGTTTTGTAATTTTGTTTGTTATTATTTATTATTATTATTATTATTGCGTAGGTTGGTGGACGAGCTTACAGCCCACCTGGTGTTAAATGGTTACCAGAGCCCATAGAAATTTACAACGTAAATGCCGCCACCCACCTTGAGATATGAGTTCTAACTATACTTGAGACCTTAGAACTTATATCTCAAGGTGGGTGGCGCATTTACGTTATAGATCTATGGACTCCAGTAACCACTTAACGCCAGGTGGGCTGTGAGCTCGTCCACTCAATGCAATAAAAAAATGTCTCAGTATAGTTACAGTTATAGGTACAGTCCGTATAGTTATAGTTAGGAGCCCCTTACGTTCTGAAATACGTGGGTTCGGTATATTTGATCTGTTTTACAGTAACTTGGTTGTAAAAGCTTCTAACCGAAATCGGCTTAATTCTAAAAATACAATAACTATTTATACATTATTCATACGTATAATATGACATGACACATAATAATATGACACAATTCATTGAAATTAGTTGAAAATGTGTTGTTGAACTCGTGCGATCCAGTCAAAAGCCTCCAGATTATTTTTTATTATTAGTGCATATTGGGGCTTATAGTAATCTGATTTAATCGATATATTCGCGGCTTGAGCCCTTCAATGAGTTAAAAGCTTTAGGCTCAAATATTAGATTTAGTTTAAATACAAGGCAAATTTTGATAATAAAATGTTTAAAGGACGGCTTACACAATAGTCTCTTATGAGAATATCTGAAATCTATTATTAGCTGCCGCTGTATTCTATATTTAATTTCATTTCATTTGTAAATCACGCTGTAGATTCATTAATAAGTTTGTATTTGGCACTAAAACTACACATGACATGTGAAATAATGAGCACATTGAAATATGACAAAAAAATTTTAGACACGTTAAATGTTATGTAATGAAGACAGGCAAAGTTAAATAATTTGGTGAATGTAATATATAGTTATATATTTTAGAGGTTATGCTTTAGACGAGCGTACGTTTTGTGAACGCTACGGATTTTTTTTTTTTTTTTTGTGGTTGAAGAATTACTGGTGGCCCGGAGGCCTTTCCAGTTTCACCAGGACAGGACGCTATGGCTACCCCGTTACGGCTTCTTCAACATACACTTAAGCATTCAAAACAAATATCACTTTACTAATTCCAATAAAACTTTTTTTTTTTTTTTTTTTTTCACAAAGTTATGAGGGGCATAAATTTCTGTCAGTTTTTTTAAAAAAAAGTCTTTCAAATATTTTGAGATTGTGGCTAACTTCATTATATCTCAATGTTGCTATTATAAAAGTTTACAAATCCTACTATCTCTGATAAAATTGTATAGTTTTTGCGAAGATTGCAAGTCATTATAATTATTATGGGTACAACTTAGTCCTGATTTTATCCCTAGTCACCCCCTGTATCCCTTGTCACCCCGTTTTATGGTATATACCTAAAGATGAATATCGAGGCGTCGACAAACTTGAAATTAGTGTTTTAAATTTTTTAAATAATACATTTTAATTGTTCGGTCACTATGAAACAATTACTGGAGGCGCAGTGTCAAAACGCTGCAAGAACGGATGGGTAGCGACATCATCTCGAAGATTCCTTAAGTGTGATTTAGCTTTCGATAAATTCTTCTTGTGTAGTCCAGACTTTACATCCCATTATCATGTTATATAAACACCGATGCTACTCTGAATAACAAATCAAATTTAAATACTTTACGGCTTAATCTCGTGTTACAGTAGCGTATTAGTAAGGTTACCTGCGAGTGATCGCTTTGACCAATAAAGCCGCCATTGTAACGATCTTATTCATTGCAATTTATTATTTACAACCTATTAAGGTTTCAGCTCTTTGATCAGAACCAATTATGATTCATGATCAAAGAGTTTCTAGTATGATATTGTTACAGTGACGGATAATAAAATATTGTCGATAATTAAAATGTTTTAAGTTTTCTTGGTCGCGGAAAATTTACGAGAAAAATAGTTATTTGTAGATATATGATTTTACGCTGATTGAGAATACAGTGACACTGTGTAAAATCGGCAAGAAATAGGGTTCATTTCTAAATATAAAAATATATGCATGCTAATGAAGCATTTTTTTTAGATAGATTTTCTTTTTTTGAATGACAATATTTTGGATAACTGTATAATTTTTTGACCTTCCTACATATGTAAAGAAATATTTGCCTGAAAGAGATCGCTCTAAGCAATAACGCCGATAATTATTACACACATTTACATACTATGTGATTATTAGCCTTCACTGTTCAATATTTGTGGTGTTTTAATAATGAGCTTTTAAAATTTACAAAAAAAGGGTATCAAGTTTTAAAATTATTTTTACTTTTACTTTATTGAAGTCGTTGACGAGATTAAGCCGTTATAATGTTTTTTGACCACGCCTACAACTCGTTTAAGCTAACATTCCGACCTACAGCGACACGTTGCGTACTAAACCCATATAGGATTCTAAAAACAAGTCGATCAGTTTCAAAAAGTCTTCTCTGTTTTTTTTCCAACTTAAACATATAAGAATATTTTAGTGATTTGCCTCAAAATCGGCAAAAGTACATTGAAATTGTTGTGGTATCGGTTTTAATCGCGCTGATAACTTTATGAAAAATATACATTTTTTTTAGTACCAAATTTTAAGATAATTACAAACAGGTGGCACTTGAAATTACTCGACTCAATTAAAATAACTTGCATGTCATTTAACGCACAAAATAATATCACATACTGACCAAAAAATAAGTCTGTTTTCCTAAATGGTGGTAAAAAATGGTCTTTATAAGCTTGACGGAACATTAAAAGATCAAATACAAACTACATATAAATGTTAAGGTAGGTTTCGAAAGCCTTTATTTGTTGCCAAAGTCCACATTTTATAATATATAACTAATAGTCTATAACTATAATAAACAATGATAAGCTAAAGCGATTTACTTGCTGTATTATTGGCGACATATTTTTTTTGTATCTTCTTGAATGACATCTTAATTTTATATTGAAATGATTTATATACGAGAGTGAATCTTATATCTACACTAGCCGTACTCGCCCGCTTCGATGGGCATTTAAAATTAATATTATTATTTATTGTCAATACTCAAATAAATATTAGCCTATCCATTAAGTACATGTATTTTCTACATGGATACCAAGTTTCAAGTCAATCGGATTCATGGTTCAGTAGATATAACGGAACATCCGTCAAAACCACTGTAGATTTATATATTAGTATAGATAGGGCGTATTCTGTATCAATATATGGATTGAAGGATAGAACTGCCGCTATTTTTTTAAGAAGATTTCGATTTTTGTTTATTATGGGCTGGGTTGGTAGCCAGTTGACTTAAGCTGCTACCAGCTGTCTAGATTAACAAAGACCTTGTGTCTGCCTGTTCCCGATAGAAAAGTCTTGTGTTCTTTCATAAGAAATTTAAGTACACATTCACAATATTTTAGTTTCGTGTCATGAAATGTTTTCCTTTAATGTATCTACTGTAATGTATTCAATTACCGATCGAAGGCGGAGTTTCAAGCATCCAAGTATTCGTTGAGTAGTTTAAGGAGTATCCGAACTTGACATTTGTCCGAAAACAAAACTTCGGTGCAAATTGTTTAGTTGTGTGATGGAACGAACTTCGTGCCTCCATTAGTGATGGTGGAGTTGGACGCTTCTATGACATCGGCCAACGTACCTAAATTACCTACCTTCATTAAGGCTCTGCGAAACTTTACAGCGATCTAAGGAAATTTCCAAACTGCGTTCTAGTCTATGTAGTTATTATTATATCGGTACCGAAGTAGACACATGACTTATACGTAAGAAACAAGAGTATTCTTGACCACCTAAATAATAAAATTGAAATTACAAAAACCATAGCAGTAGTGTTTATCGTAATTTTAAAACGGTAACGTGATTATTGCTTTTCAGGAGAAATATGATAGCCATTCCAATACTTTAGCTATTGTTTTATTTAAATTAGGACAAAAAGCCGACTTAACCTAATAGGTGTATGGCTCTAATAAAGAATAAAAAAAAAATAAGGCCAAAAGTTTTAGCTGAAAATTAAGCATTAAATCCGCCATTACGACTTTAACGATGCCCAAATTTTGTTACTATTACATTCCAGAAACTTAAAAGTAACTAAGATAATTTCTATTTTTAGAACCGCGTGAAGCAGTACCCTAATGACTTGACGCATCACAACCCTCATGCCGAAGCGCCGAAACCGAAACCCGAACTCAAGCTCGAAATACGAAACCCGGATCCCCTAAGACGAACGAACCAACCTCTCAACGTGAAGGACTTAGAGACCAGAACCTCACAGTCGGATAAAAGTCAAGGCGCAACCACGCCAAAGACGATAAGCACCGCTCTCAGTAACAGGCATCCGGCTGAAGATACGACCTTAGATTTCTCTTATGATAATATGGGGATGAACGTGACTCCCCCCGGACAACCGGCTGCCAGTCACAAATTCTAAAGTTCGGCGGCGAAACTGTCTCTTTCATCGAACCGAAAACGTAACCATAGCAATTAGTTTGGTAAATCGAATCGAAAAGATCGAATGGTAAATTGAGGCCTATAAAATCAAAGGCGGCTAAATCCAAGTCTGTCAAATATTCAGGTAAACTACAAAAATCGGCCCTAAGCACGTCATTACGGATTGTCCCGATCCATCGAAGTAGCTCTTGCTAGGGCCAGTGTTAGCAACACTCCCGGTTTGAGAAACTGAAATAACTTTGTTCGGGTAGCTACGATATTCTTCATTTTAAAGCAGATTTTTTTTTATTTATTTTATTTATTTATTTAATTTACTTCAGAGTTTACATCCATATTACACGTCTTAATTACATTGCATTAACATTTAATTTATACTAAAATTAAATAAAAATAATAACTAATCTCGGACTAAAACAAAAACAATAATAATAATAATAAAAACAAAAAAAAAACAAAATTATAATAATAATAATAATAAAACAAAAACTCTAAATTAATAATAATAAAACAAAAACTCTAAATTAATAATAATAAAACAAAAACTCTAAATTAACATGAAAACTACCTTAACCTAAAGGCTGATTTGGATCCAGAGTGCTCAAAATGCACACGTGTCCAGTGTTGCATTATTGGGCAGTCCAGATCCATCCATATATTATATATCATATATTAATTTTATCATATATTGATATAGATTTATAAAGAATGAGAATATTACTAATAATCTGAATTTTAAATGGCATTTGAATTGAATTTACTAGAGATTTAACTGCATTTGTTATAACATGAAAATACTAAAGCGTGTCCAACTAACTAAACAAGATGGCGCCATAGGTAATCTATTTTACTACATTAAGGCGTTTAGCTGCCTTTGATTTTATAGGCCTCATATAAAGTTCAATGTTATCACAAATTGGCTTAAGATTTCTCGTAGATAACAATGACATGAGCTCTGTTAATGTGTGTGTCTCCAATTTGGCCGTTAACACGGGAAGTGACATTGGAATAGTCGCACTGTAACAAAGTTCACGTCTAGTCATTTTACCTTTGGATATATAAATATATAACTGTATTTTTTTTATCGCGCCTGTACTTTAGAGATGAATTCACGATACGCGCCAAGTTTCAGTTTTTACTTGTGACATTTGCGTCACTCACAAATGTCCATTGACGAGTGCCAGCGCATGAATAATACGCTCGAGGATAAATTGTACTCGTTTATGATTTTGTAATAACGAACAAAATATCGAAATAAACGCACGCGTGGTAAATCATTATGTTTTCATTGGACGCTTTCTTTTTAGTTTTGAATATAGATTTTTTTCAACGGATATAAACAACGTTACATACTATAACGCATATTTTTAAGCTATTCCTAACATATTTAGCACTTCACGAGCAGCACTTTCAATTTAATTTAGTTAATAGTTTTATAATTAAAGTAATCAGAATACATGCCACAATTACTAAAGCTATTTTATGAAACATTATACGCTAACGCATTTTTGTTTAATTAATTTGCATTACGTATGGATTCTTGTTTTATTAACAATTAGCAGTAGTATTGGTGTTAGGGGGGGAGAAGTAGAGGTACTAAGTTTAAATTAATTTATAAATAATATTCATTAATAATGATATCACAATATGTTGTTCGACATCACATTAATTTAATTAATTATTAAAATTAAATATCTTATGATTAATTAACTTGAATGTACTTAGAGTCATAAGTGTTTATTAAAAGTTAAGGGTAATTACATCCGAATCACGATATATTGTATATTTTGAAAATGTTTAACAAAGTACTGTTAGTGGATCTTATTTCGAAATTAAATTCCATCATTTAATTATATTTGCTCAATCACAGTTATGATTTGAAAAAATAAAAAAAAATGTGAAAAAATATAATTTACAATTTAAATTTACTTCCTAATTTTTAAGGTAAAAAATACGTGCATTCAGCAGCAATAACGTAAAGAGATTAACATATCAAATTAAGTAGTTATTATCATTATTCACGAACATATAATGTGTATCATGCGTAGTTAAGAAATACATTAATTTTTTTCGTAACATTTTGGGGTTAAATTGTTTAAAATTAAATTGTCTATCTACAATAAAATTAAAATAACGTACAAAAATTATTTTTTTTGTTTTAAAAATATTGATACTATTGTCTGTATGTAATATAATTTTTTTTTTGTTTCAACTATAAATTGTACATTTACGTAACGGTTCGTAAATACAAAATCGTTGTATGTAATAAGTTTATGTATTATACAACAATTTTATCATGTTATATCGAGTTCAACTCGGGTTAATAAACGTCACAGCTTGGTTAAGGTTCTCATTTTATTTGGGTATGTGTTAATGTTATCAATGTTTGTGTAAACAGTAAATAACCGACGTTATTGCTTTTTTCGATTGAATGCTTAAGATCAATGCAACAAACTGCGTGAAATGGTTCGTGTCATTCATTGACTTCGTTATTAGTTAAAATAGGTTTTTCTGCTTTTTAATTTTCTTTAGGATAATGTTTTGGCAACGTTTTTTTTTGTTGCCGTACAGATTACCGTAGAAAAAAGTAGATTAAAGTATTATTTTTTAGTAAAACCTTAAAAAGTTATTCAAGGCTCTCACGCGAGTCGCCACGATACTGTAAATTAAAAAGAAAAAGAAAAATAGGAATTTTTTCTAGAAAATTAAAAATATTTTATCTTTAATTAAATTCTTCAAACGCCGTGTTACAGAACAAATTTTTTGACATATTTTGTCACATACTCGTTATAGTTTTGCATACTTGGTTTTTTTCGCTCAGTTATGTGACAAAATTATGTGAAAAAATTATAAATTTGCTATACTTACTTGAATGGCACGTCAATTTTTCTTTATCTTAAAAAAGCAATAACACCGGCTTTTCTTATGTGTATTGTGTAGTGTGAATTGTTATAATTAAGGTAGTGACGTCTATTATATGTTATTTTTGTATGTTATCCTTGTTAAAATAAGCATTGTTCACTAAATGCCTTATGAGAAATTTGGATTTTAGGCAAACTGAACTTTAAATTGATATAGGTATTTAGGGATACTTCATTTCGGGATAGACATTTAATTACTTTTCTATTACTCAAATTTACCCTATTTTTTTTACCCGTTGTCTGCAACACTTGTTTTCTGTTATAACAGAAAACTCATCTCTAAACGTTGCAAGCTATCTCAAGTTTAGATGAGTTCTATTACGTTCTTGATGGTCCGACCAAACTACACCGGACACGTTTTCGGGAGATTATTAATGACAATGCCAATTCTAAAAGAATACGGTTTAACCGAATGTTACGGGAATTAAAAAAAATAAGCTAATTAAGTTTGCATTTTAGCGCGCCATAAAACTGTAACGATGACAGGTTTTTTGTTTTCATTAAAAGTCGAATTTAAAAGTCGACTGCGTTCGTGAACGCTTCTGGATTATTTATTTCAATTAAATATTAACGTAAACTACAATATGTATGTTGCCGAAGGGGAAATGTTACGTGACCTCATTATTTTCCATATCCATCGCTATTTAGGTTATAATGAGGATAGAAAGGTTCACGTTTTAGTTTTACCGAAAATCGAGGAAAATGAAATAAGTTAGGTTTCTAAAAGTAAGTACACAACTATTTATGGCAACATTATTCCATTATCGGAGCATTGATAAGGTCCTATTCTGATGAAAGGTATTCACACTGATAGGACACGCACGACTGATTTCACGTACTTTGACGAGAAGACTTAATAATAAATGCGTGTATTAGAACTTCCATAAAAAAAATTCATTCAGCTAAAATATGTTGCATTATGAACTATAAACACCTTTTTTGTTTATTGTACTCAATGCTTCTCTAAGTCTCGTAAATCGTACGAAACTATATATTTATACTTAAATTCCTTACATTTCACGTACCTATTAGTATGAGTATAATGATCACGTAGTTACTACCACCCGTGAATAAATATTCTAAATTAGAAACTCTTACATATCCCATAAGGCGATTATACAATTTCGTTATGACTTACTGGTGGTAGGACCTCTTGTGAGTCCGCGCGGGTAGGTACCACCACCCTACCTATTTCTGCCGTGAAGCAGCAATGCGTTTCGGTTTGAAGGATGGGGCAGCCGTTGTAACTATATTTGAGACCTTAGAACTTATATCTCAAGGTGGGTGGCGCGTTTACGTTGTGGATCCTCCAGTAACCACTTAACACCAGGTGGGCTGTGAGCTCGTCCACCCATCTAAGCAATAAAAAAAAAAAACTTAATTGCTTTAAATTTCTTTCGTGAAGAGAAAATTTATTTTAAAACGTTTGATTATTTTTTAGTTAAGAACTGTGTAACAGCCATTCCAAAGGATGGTGAGAACCAATTTTGCTTAGAATTTATAAGCTATGTCAAATTTATTGAGTAATAGATTACGAGTATTTCAGATAGATATGTATGTATACTCAAAAAGTAAAATATTTGGGTCGGGTCGATTGATTAATACAATGATTTCTCAAATCATAGATAATAAAAACAAGTTAGACTTATTTTCAAAATTTGTATCCAAAAAAATAAATTTCTTAAATAGGTTTTGGTAATAAGTTCTGATAGTGAGAACTATGTAACTGTATATTATTATAAACATTTTTGATTGGTATATTTAAACAATATTCGTAAATTTCAAAATTAATTTTAATTCAAACTAAGTTAAACAATTTTTCCCTAAGATCATTCAGTGAATCACTAATAATAATATGGATAGATGCTTCACGGATTTCTGCCTTTATTACGTAAAAACAGATCACCCATACCTTTTTTTGTTGAATACAAGTTTTTCTCATGACTGCTTTGTAATTATGAGTTTTAAAACGAACGTAAGAAATTTATGTTCGTTTTTTTCTAATAGTAGACACTTAGGGCTGTATGCATGCGATGCCTGTGTGCATGCGAAAGGTGAGAGGATCCTTGCAATATCAGGTGTGCATCCAGACATCTGCCTACCATAAAGTGCTTCTCTTAAGCCTTGTTTGAAGGGGCACATGTAGTTCTGACGGAACACTACAGAATGGAGGTCATTCCAGAAGTTGATAGTTCGCAGGAGAAACTTTTGGAACTTTTGATAAACTTTTAGAAGCGGTAAGCAGCGGCTT